CCCACCGCCCCCCACTGAAAGTTCCCCCCCCCCCCCGGCATTCCAGGCAGGCTGGCTAGTATGTGGAGCAGTGATTTGTCAAGGGGGCTGTAGATGGCGTTAACATTTGCAGATTCGGTCTGCATTGCTCTGGGAAGGCCTGACCTCCCCACCGTGCTCACACCTGTTATTCAGTTCAAGTTCCTCAGAAAGGCCCAGGCCTGGGGGTTTTCTTCTCCAAGTCCTGTTCACTCCCAGGCCCAGGGAGAATAGGGAGTCAGAGCCCTAACTTGGCCTCGGTGACACTTCCAGCACCAGGGCCGCAAACCACGACAGTGTCAAGAGAAGAGTCCCAAGCGCACAGAGAGAGAGGGCTGCAGGACCCAGGGAGCAGGTCTGAGAATGGAGTGATGGGAGCCCTGCTCTTGCAGGCACTTGCCAACGGAGAGCAAGGGGTCGGTGATCGCTGTGGAACAGCAGGCACAGGTTGAGAAGCAGGGAGCCAGAGACCCGATGGATTTAATGGGTTCGTGAGATGAGGAGCCTTGTTGGGGAAAGGATGGTGCCCCGGAGGGTGCAGTCAGAGATCAGAGGGTGGGAAGAGCAGGGACAATGCTGTGGCTATAGGAGGAGGCAGGCGAGATGGCTCAGGTGATGCTGCTGCCGTCGATGCTCGTTGCCTGTTCTCTACCTGAAGTGCTTGTTCATTTTCTTACCCACAGCCCCAAAGCCCTGGTGACACAGAAGCCGGCACTGACCTCCCATGGGACACGGAGCTCGGGAAGTACAAGGAACCCCCTTTCCAAACAGAACACAGCTGGGTCCGGGGACTCAGTGTCACCCAGTGTGGCAGAGCTCCTCCTCCAGCTGAGGAAGCAGGAAGAGAGCTGAAGCACTGCTAGCCCTCAGGACTGGTCAGCTCGGATTCGGAATGGCACACAGAGCCTTTTAACTGACTAGAAGCTCTCAGTTTGGATCTGGCCCATGGGGGTAGTGACCCAAAAGCCAGGTCTACGCTAGACCTGGAAGGTCAGGTTAAGGTGCGCAACTCCAGTAAAATAGGTAGCTGGAGTTGGCTTACCTTAAGCCAAGCTTGGCGCCGTCTTCACAGAGGAAGGCTGACAGGAGCAAACACTCTTGTTGGCTTCCCTTACTCCTTGAGAGGAGAACTAGTGCTGGCCGGGGCTTTCCTAACTAGACCCACTAAATCAAACACCAGAATATTGATCTCTGGTGCAACAAGTGAAGACATGGCCAAAGTCTTCACCACATGGCGGCTGTGCAGTCTGTTCTTTCTATTTCCTAGGTCGCAGGTGCCCTCATCGCAGAACAGATTACCCTCGAAAACAGATTACCCTCCTTGTTGGCAGGCTCAGAAAGGGACAAAGGTATAAATGGGCCATGGAGATCGAACTCCTCTCTGAAGGAGGGGCACTGGACGGTAAGGGGTAAGCGCCACCCATGTGCTGCCTGCTGTGAGAATAGGGACCCCAAGTTTCCAAGGCTGCCAACAAAACCTGCGGCTGCACCTCTGAACAAGCTCTTCTCAAAGAGGTCACGGATGCAGCTTGGAAATGGCTGGAAGAATGGGAGGGACCGGGGTAAGGAGAGCCACTCCAGTTGGCCAAGGTTAACTTGCCTTCCCTGTGGTGCTCATCCTCCCATCCAGGCTGGGCAGCCTTCTAGCAGCGGCGTTAATGGCAACATCCCTGAGTGGGGTCCAAGCAGGAACAACAATAAACCAACCCTCCAGATCCTATCTTAAGGACACAGGGCTTCAAACCCCAGCTCAGCCGGGCACTCACACCACACAGCAAGGAGTGAACGGCATCAATTTTCCCCTAATGATAAGTTACTCGAGCAGCAGTTTTCTACACCTATCCCACCGTGGATGTGACTCTATGGAACACCACAGGCTCAGTAGTCCTGGGCCAGTTCCTTTAGTTGCCTGGAGAAGAAAAACCCTGGTGACACTGCTCTTCCTTCTGAATGAGAACTGAATGCCATGGTGATTCAGGGGCTGATGTGCACCAGGAGGTTCCCTCTTTCATGCAAGACCAGACAAGTCCTTGCACACGCACACCCATCAGAGATTGCACAGCACTTTTTGAAGGCATCAAGAATGCTCACCCCACATCCTGACTACACTCCAGTGCAGCAAACTCCACCCCCACCCCCTGCCGCATTTCCAATGAGACACAGGATTCTGCAGCATTGCTAGGAACTGTTAAACAGCTGCCATGCCCCACCCCAGAGCGGCTGTCCTGCAGTGCTGTGCCATGCAGGTCAACTGTATGTAGCTTTTAAAGCATCTTGGGGTGTTCTCCCCAAGCAGCACTAGAATGCAGTGTCACTACCATCACTAGGCACTGCAACAGAATAGTGCCCCCCTTTGATGGGAATTAACCATCTACCACAAATATCCTGTCTGACGGAGCACGGCTGATAGGATTATTTATTGCTTCAGGCTAGGCACAGGTGCCCAGTGGTGAAGCTGCCAAACAGCAAGCAGCTCTCTGCATGGATGTGTCCATAAATTACCCACTGAACCCATTAGGGAGCCAGGAAGTTTAGGAGGGAGCCAACTTCAGAGGGGAGTGGAAGTGGAGCGCGTCCCTGCGAGTGGGCTGGGGCCAGGCAGTGCGCAATTAATCCTCGTTAATAATGTCGCAAACAGAAGCGCTCGCATGGAGCACGAAGCGGAACAGATGCACACACGCACCTCTGGGGCGTCTCCTGGGGCCCACTCCTCCATGCTTCCTCCCAGCCAGCTCCACATTTTCTGTCAGTGAATCTTCCTTCTTTTTCCTTCACTGCTGCTCTTCCTTCTCCTGGATTCCCTCCTTTCCTCTTTCTTTGTGTATGTTCCCATCATCCCATCATTTCCCCGCCCCCACCTTTCCTTTCCCCCCTCTTTTCCCTTTTCTCTGTCTGTCTCCCCCTACATAGGTTTTTCCCTAGAAAGATGCTCCTCACACTGTCAGCAAAATGTCAGCATCCATCAGTCAATTGACAAAATCACTGGGGCTTTCTAAACAATTCTCCCCCGAGGTTTGGCATTC